AAGTATTGACGAGGGACTATTCTCAGTCAAATAATTTATTTTTAATTTCAAATATTATGTAAAAATATTTAGAAACTGAAATGATAATTGTATTTGTTTGAATGTGATATTTTAAGGATTTTTCATTTGTGAAAGCAATCAAAATTAGTGGTAGTCATTTTGTTTTTTAAATAAGACAAAATAATCGAAATTAATTTGTTCAAAATCCATCTTTGATACAAGAATTGCAATAGATGAATCATAAATAGAATCATGGTTGGTAGGTGGTACTAGATATTTTTTATTGAAATTATAAAAACAAACTACTAAATTTAGTATTGAGGCTTAATTGTTTCTAACATTTTATATAAGTTTATCAATTTTAGTTTTTCTTTTTTTATAGGTTAGTCAAGGAATACCATCATCACCAACAAATAAAGAAAGCAAAAATCTTACTACTTTCATGGCACTAAAATGCCCAACTCTGTTTAATGAATTGCTTTTACAAAGTTCCAAGAAAACTTGTTTTCACTGAAGATGGCGAAACTCAAACAATGACCTTAGCTGTTCCAATAGTAATCTCATCAATGAATTCAAATTTGATTCTGCCCTTGAAGTTGCCAACTTCTTGTCTATTTACATCGAAGTTGGGCAGCCGGACTTTGAAGACGACTACTCGTGTTTAGTTGAAAGGCTGAGAGTGAGCTTCAAACCTCCCATCCATTGCTCCCCTGGCTTCAATTTGATTGGTTTCTCAATTGCTGCCCCACTCACACTTACCATTCTCTTGTAGTCATTCTTTCCAAAATCTGCAATGGCTTTGGATTTCTTATCCCATGGGTTCCACACCACTGTTGAAACATGCAAACAGTTTATGCAAATCAATTTTAAGCAATCTGAGGCTAGAGTATAAGTCCAATCTGTTTCTTGAGCAGCTTTTGCACACTCATGCTTTTCACATGGTAACAGATAACAACTATTTATTATTAGGAATTTAGGATTCCCCTCTTCTAATTATAAAGCTTAATGGATCTTTGAGGAGGATGACAGTGACCCCATTTATGATATGATGTTGCTCTAGATTGCATTTGAGAGGCAGAAAGCTTACCAACATCTGGAAGTCCTTCTCTCTTTATTTTCAAGGTTCGTCTCTTTTTATGATCTAACACTTCAATGACACCTTCTGCTTCTACATAGACCCTATCCACCTGCCAATTGGGAAAGCACTTGGTAAGGCACAACTCATGTCAGTCAATAGCTTATGACTATTAATTAGAAGTAACTCTGTTTTGCAATTTTTTGTTTTCTATCTGATGTCTAGACTCGAAACTTTTTGCATTTTTATGACAGCAAAACAGCATCAATTTCATAAAACTCCTTGCTTTACCTCAGAATCAAATGACAAGGAAATTCCTTGTTCGGTTGAGCGCATCCCTTCTTTAAGGTTGTTAAGATAGTCACAAGTTTCCAATCCCTCTACTCTCACTTCACTGTTGGTAGGATAAATGATTTGTTAATATCAAAAGCTTATTGAAGATGGCACATTATACATGATGGATAAATCAATAACCAAAGTTCATTTTCAGTTATTTTATTTCTAGCGTCATCAAAAAAGGCCCTTGATCATAATATAATAACTAACCCTACCTTGTATCAAAAAGCAAGCTCACATATCATAAGATTTTGGAAAAGCTTATGATTTTCTAAAGTGGCACTAGTATAACAATCAGAAGTTGATTAACAAACCATGTTAAAGCATTGCAAAGTATACTACTTCTAAAAGGATCAAATGAGATGGAAAATTCAGGTAGGAGTTCCATTGTGAGACATGTAATTTCTATTTCATTTGATTGCTATGCTAGAAAGGCAGATCCATTACCCAATATCAGAGACAGCCAAATCCGTGTGATACGCAAATGTGAAAGTGAATGGCTTGCTACAGACATTCCGGACACGTGAAACAAGAATCAGGCTTCCATCATCTGCCAGAGCCACCCTAAGATGAAACTTGAAGCTGCACGGGAAAAATTTATAAATGATGCACGTACAGATACATTTACGTTCTGAGTTACAAATTGCAGGGGATCATTGTTATAGGAGTACAATGCAATGCATATAGGCACATACTTGTGTGGCCAGATCTTGAGATCAACTGCACATGGATTAAGTAGCAAGTCAACATGAGTCATGCCACTTTCTGGCAATGGTGGTGGATCACGATCAATGGTCCAAAGCCTGCCCATGGCAAATCCACGTTTCTCCAGTGTTTCTCGGGTGCCAAACTATCACATGGATCAAATGCAAGAATCAGATTAATGCAGAGTACCACCGATAAATTCAAGAACCAAACATCGGAAGTACCTGCGGGAAACATATGGGAATTCCTCCTCGCACTGCATGTGGTGGAGGCTTGTAGACAGCCTGCAGTATATTAAATCAGAAAGAAAAAAACAAATAATTCATCAAACAGACAGAAAAACCATAAAAAATGGCGAGAACATTGAAGTGCAAGTACATGGAATGAAATCGAGAAGAACAAGGGAAATTTCATCGAACGGGTTATAAACTATCGCAAGAACACAAAAACGGCGCTTTGACCATATACTTTCCTTGTGAATAACGGTAGGTGGAATCAATCAAAGAACAGTCTACAAGAATCCTAAAACAGATTAGAACACCGATGAATAACAACATTTACCTTACTACCCATGAACAACAGTTCTTCCCCACGCTCTGTCTTCCATGATAGAACCTGCCCTCCATGGCAACTAACCTACATTGATTTCACAGAACAAGAAGCAAAGAACGATTAACTCCATTGATAACCAACCATGAAAAGGTAGAAGAAAGAGAAAGAAAGATTGCTGACCTCAACAGTAGCCCCCTTAGGATTCCGAAGCAAAATCATCTCAACTCCATTCCCATCCCTTCCAACTTCAACCGATCCTCTCAGACTCTGATCACTGGCTGCCGCAGAACCAGCCATGGCAAAAACCCAAATCAGGAAACAAAACAAGAAGAAAGAAAACTCTACTGTATATCTTTTACTCTCTCTCTCTGTAAAATGAACTAGAAAATATATGGAGGAGTAGAGGATCATATATATAGCAGTTGAGAATCTAGACTTCCCTCCATAATATTTGGATAAATTTTTATCCGAATTTCTCGGGAAACAATAACTAACAATGCAACTAACTACCTTACCCTTTCTTCACCCCTATAACTACCAAGGATGGGAAATCCAACAGAATACAAGACAGAAAAGAAATCCTCAAAACAGTCCCAATTCTGTAACTGTGAAAGAGCTCGAAAACAGAAAAAACGAAACTGTCATCTGGGTTCGAAAGATAACCAAAAAAAAAAAAGGGTTAATTCCTCAACTGAAATTCATTCAAGTGCGCGCCAGTCTTAAAGAACCAATAGGATGGATTTATGTTTTACATACTGTAGATTAAAAATGAAGCCCACTATATGAATTTACTAAAATATATTTAACAAAATAGTAAATAAATAATTTTTTAAAAATATTTTAGTAAATTTATAAAGCAAACTTTATTTTTAGAGTATAATCTATCATATAACTGCACTTTTTTTCACAAACATTTATAGTACTAGAAAGGATCGGAAATTCCATTAAAAAAGAGAGGGAGAATAACGAAGAAGGAATGAAATGTATGCATTTTTCTCAGGCAAGACATGAATTCAAGGGAACCCATTTTGTATTAGTGAAGGAAGATTGACAAAAAAAAAAAAAAGTTGAATTCTGAGGAGATCATTTATATATGAAAACTCAAATATTAATCTTTAGACCAAGGAATGAACCGGTGTGAACAGGGGACCGTGTTTAATTGAATTAACGACCCACTGAAAAAGGCAAAAATTCCTTGGGGGGACTTCAATCATAAAGTAACATGAGTGTATAAGTCACATGTAAGTCCCCCAAGGAATTTTTTTATTCACACATCCCCAGAAAAAGGGGTGTTGTTACTGAACAGGGAGAGTTTTGATAGTTCATAGAATAATTAAAATCAATACTTGTCTATAAATGAAATGGAAGGAATAAAGGGGTAGGACAAGATACTCTTATCTTTTTTCTTCCTCGACTGCCGATTAATCTTCACTTTCCTGTTAATGGGTATTAAGGGGTGCCCTAGATTTAGGGGTAACTATCTCTTTATCTTACCTAAATACAAAGAACTGTAGTCTATGGTT